TACTGCATGCGGCTCTTCTACTTGAACATTTTGCTCAACCCCGCTCTATGGGATTCTTTTTTTGTTTCCCATTGCGTCATCAAAATTTGCGCACGTTGTGGCGGTTCCACGAACGTATATTAGCGGATCTCGTGCTCAACGAACGTCGGAGGATCTCTTGCTTAGCGAAAGTGGAGTATTTTTAGAGGGGTAGCGGGTAGACAGCGTTACCTGACCTGGTAATACAGAAGTAAATCGGATCATTTTGTATTTCAGTTCACGTTGAAACTGAATCACGAAGATTGGACCTGAAAACAAGTGTAAATTTAAGCACCCTATGGCGTCTGGAGCTGCCGCAAAACTATGGCCGCTATGGTGTGGCTATGGCAAACCTATTAAAGATTTATATATTTATATACCCTAAATCGAAAGGATTCTCCATCCTCGACTAATATTTGCCTTTCTTGCTCAAAATCCTTTTTCATTTCTTCGGTTGATGGAAGTTTCTTAAGCCCACTTGACGTATCATGTTCATGAATCTTAAAGCAAAAAATGCAATTGTATTGTTTGAATTCTGATCGCATATCTGAAACAAAATTTAAACAGTGGAAGAAATCAATATCTTGGAGAAAAATGAAGGTGGCGCTGTTTTTCGAAATTTTTGAAATTAAAATAAACTAAACTGATAACTACAACTAAACGGTCTAACTAAACGAACGAAAATTTGAATTTTCAAAACATACCATTTCAAACTGAAAAGGTATATTAGTTTGAAAAGTTCATATTAACATAATATAGCATACAATTCAGGGGGTCTGGGAAAACTCGTCGCAGGAAATTCCGACCAAAAAAATCTCGCCGAAGGAAATTTACTCAAATAGGAAAAATCGCCGCAAGAGCATTTTGCGGTAAAACAAGTATTGTAATAAAAACAGTTAGGTTTTTGAGGTACCTTTTTATTTAAATAAGATTAGGTATTTAGGAGCATACCCTAACTCTATAAACCTAGCTGTTTATATCCCAAATATTTGTTTTACAGCAAAATGCTTATGGGGTGATTTTTCATGATATCACAAATATTCGTGTTACAGCAAAATGCTGTTGCGGCGAATCCTGCAGCGAATTTTTCGGACACGATAACATTCGAAGCTTCAATAATCTTAGAAGTCATACACATTTTTAGATCGTTTTCAGATCATACTCACTAACTTGGTGTAATGCCCAGTTTTTCATGATTGTATCCCGAGTTGAGAAGTTTGATGGCAACTCAACTTCCTATAAATCGTTCAATAGATAAACCTCTTTAACAATCCCAATTTATATAAATCTAGTACACCATGCATGCAGGCTTGTATAAAAGTGAATTTTTTTCGAATTGACAATAAAATGAATTCCTCTGCGGTAATGGGTATTTAGTTATTTGACATATCTGTATGTTGTGAGTGACAGACAGTTGAGATATACACCGATCAGAATGTCAACTCCGGATTTCAATTAAAAAAGTATTCGACTATGATTCCAAGTAACGCCGACGCGGTACCGACGTCAATAAATTACTTGGATTGGGGTTTTGTTTATACATAACAATGGGCTATAAGACGCAACAGCTTTTAAGGACCATCGGGTTAATGACTACGTACGAAGCTCATTGAACAAAAAAACTCAATGTGCTATAAGGTTATTGTATTTTATTCAATAGAAACATAATCTCCCCAATATATATATAAATTATACACACAGTACATCACGTTGGTCCAACCCTGACGCACGGGCCGCAAAGAAGTGGGTGGGGATGACAAGGAGAATGAATTGTGTGTTGTCTTGTGCATACAGGGCCCGGTCGATGAGATGAGTCGAGCTTTTCAACTCAACTTTTCAACTTAACCTCGCGACAAGCACCTTTTTATCTAGAGAGACGTTTTTTCCCCTTTTTTAGTACAAACACACCCTTTATTTTTAAGCGGCCCCTCAATCTCGCAACCTTGGACCACCCTGCAGTATATAATTCCTGTTCATTAGGTAAATGCAAACTTGTTTCACACTGACATATCTGATAAATTACTGCCGAAAGACGCAAGACCATGCCATGTGGTAATAGAATAGTCACATATGCAACTAATTTTCCATATGCTGTAAAATACTAAAATCATTGATAAAGATGAAGAGTTGAATATGTACGTTAACATATGCGAATTGGAACCGAATATTAATCGTCTTGAATCTAGTTTGGAATGTCAGTGCTAGGTTTGTTTGCTGGGATAAAATATTGCCAAAATGTATCTTAACTAGGTGATTATTTTTTGTAATATAATTATCTGCTCAAATTGATGGAAAAACAATTTTAGGGATCATCAGATTTTCAAACCGTTTCTCCGTCATGCATAAAATAGAACAAATCATATTCTTTGATATGATATCAACTTGAAATATTTTTTTATTCAAAATCAATGTTCAATGCTAATGGCTTAATTAATGCAAATTATATTTGAATTTGACCTCGAATCAACGAGTTCGTACGAAATAAAAGAATATCATATTTTTAGTCAAATTTGAAAGTCGATTATTTATATAAAAAGTCACGCTTTATATAATGGTGCCATTGCAAGTATTCAAATAGTGGCGATTTCTACCATATATTAGGAATAGGATAATTAGTGGTGCATCCCAATCTTAAAAAAAATTCCAAGAATCGCGTGACAGAGAAACTTGTCATATAATCCGTCACTAGGTTTCAGAAAGAACCTAACCACATGCGCATGTAATACGGATTGCACGCACAATCGTTAAGCGTTCCACTTTGTGTTTGGAATTTCTAATAAACCAGTATAGTATATCATATTGTGTGTTGTATAATCAGTTGGACGTCTATCGAAGATATTTCTCTCATGTATCAATCGACAAGCAAGGCGTATATATATAAGACAAGTCAATCAATACAAACAAAACGGACGGGCAGAAACCATAATGTCAAATAACTTTAACAAATTCTGCACGAACTCCACTTATCATTTATCTTTTGGTGAGAATGCGGTGTAGCTCATGGTGTGACGGTTATAGGAATATCTCTGTTGTATATTTATTATGGTAAATTTTAAATAAATCAAATTCACTCAAGATTTAATCTGGATGTTTGAGGGCCTAATTGAAGCTGAAGCTTTTCGTGCCTCGAACGTTATTAGTATTTTATATACAAATTGTATCACCCCGTTCTAGTTATTGTTTGTGACAAGTGGTCTGAATTAATCGATTGTTTATTGTATAAAGAGATGACTCTTCTTTCCTCAAAGCTTATAGTATATGTTACTTAGGTTTATAGTATACAAAACAACTGATAACCGCCAAAACATGCTCTCTAAATTGCGCTTAATAGGAATTCTATTCATGTATATCATGTTACAAAACATGGATAAACATCCTGTTGCAAAACAACTCATAGCGCGATGACTACACATTTTTGTTAAAGCATTTTATAAGTCATGTCGAATGCTATCTTGCTTATGAAGTGTACTGCCATATGTTTGATCTGGGCTTGGACTATATTCGTATCTCCGTAATAGTCGACTACGTACGTTCAAAAAATTTCATTTATGTAGTGGACGTAAGCCTCAAAATTGATTCCAATTTCTATTATGCATGCACGTTTATTTTTGACTAAATATTATATGTTTGGGTGTCAAAGCCAAACAGAAACTTACTACAAAAGATCCTCATTTTGTTATTGTTTTTGAATTTTCAACTTCCAACTGTATGAAACACGACTTTCTCATACATTTATGATAGGTTCCATTACATTTGAACCCACGGCAATTGCACCTGCGTATTATTGCACCTATAAAAAAAAATTGTTTTACCGATATTTAAACCCATACTAACCCTAACCCATGGGTTTTAGCACCCGCATATAGATTGAACCCGCGGATATACACATGGGTTCAAATGCACGGTCACCTTATGATAATATGCAATTTTTTATCTAGAGAGACGTTTTTGCCCTTTTTTAGTACAAACACACCCTTTATTTTTAAGCGACCCCCCAATCTCGCAACCTTGGACCACCCTCCAGTATATAATTCCAACCCTGCTCATTAGGTAAATGCAAACTTGTTTCACACTGACATATCTGATAAATTACTGCGGAAAGACGCAAGACCATGCCATGTGGTAATAGAATAGCCACATATGCAACTAATTTTCCATATGCGAATTGGAACCGAAAATTAATCGTCTTGAATCTAGTTTGGAATGTCAGTGCTAGGTTTGTTTGCTGGGATAAAATATTGCCAAAATGTATCTTAACTAGGTGATTATTTTTTGTAATATAATTATCTGCTCAAATTGATGGAAAAACAATTTTAGGGATCATCAGATTTTCAAACCGTTTCTCCGTCATGCATAAAATAGAACAAATCATATTCTTTGATATGATATCAACTTGAAATATTTTTTTATTCAAAATCAAAGTTCGATGCTAATGGCTCAATGCGAATTATAGTTGAATTTGACCTCGAATCAACGAGTTCGTACGAAATAAAAGAATATCATATTTTTAGTCAAATTTGAAAGTCGATTATTTATATAAAAAGTCACGCTTTATATAATGGTGCCATTGCAAGTATTCAAATAGTGGCGATTTCTACCATATATTAGGAATAGGATAATTAGTGGTGCATCCCAATCTGAAAAAAAATTCCAAGAATCGCGTGGCAGAGAAACTTGTCTTATAATCCGTCACTAGGTTTCAGAAAGAACCTAACCACATGCGCATGTAATACGGATTGCACGCACAATCGTTAAGCGTTCCACTTTGTGTTTGGAATTTCTAACCTTATGATAATATGCAATTTTACCTTCAATACCTGTCAGTGTGATACGCCGTAATACCTGTTTTTCGATTTGACCTGGGGCTTTGTTAGGCATTTATAAATCATATCGGGATCTTTCAAGGTAATATACTTGAATATTCATATATAAATATCGCAACTCAATTTTATTCATACTTACACCAGTGGAACGACGGCGAAATGGCGCTTGTCATAATAATCGGACTTTTTATCCTTCAGTCAAGTCTGGGTGTGCACCAGGAACAAAAAAGGTGCTCAACGCGAAAAGTAAATTGCGCTTCAAGTACACATCAATCATATGATGGGGCTTGTAACAACTTGGAAAACCCCACCCAAGGTGCTACCAATACTGTATTGAACCGCTTGTTACCACCGGAATATGATGATTCAAAAGACCAGCCAAGATCGCAAGGTGTTTTTGGAAAACTTCCATCAACAAGAAGCATATCGAATACGTTGGAGGGCTCTAAGGTTTTAATTTCAAGCGACATATCACATATGCATGTAATTTTTGGACAGTTGCTCGCGCATGATATTGTGATCACGGCAATGACAACTGAAAACGATGGTTCAGAGTTAGACTGCAACTGTTACAACCCTAATAAAGACTGTATCAACATAGAAATACCGTTTGGTGATGTTCAGAGAAGAGAAGATAATGTTAAATGCATGCCTCTCGCAAGATCAAAAGCTGCGACTGGTGCAGATGGGTGCGAATTTCCTTATCGAGAACAAGTAAGCGAGCTCTCGAGTGTAATTGACGCCTCGTTTGCTTATGGAAAATCTGATGAAGAGGCGCGTGAATTGCGGGATCTTAGATCACCTTCAGGAGAATTGAAAACTTCGACAAACCCGGCATCTGGACGACACGGAAACCTTCCCAATCAAGATCATTTGGCCTATACGGGCATTGCGGACTCAATGCAATGCCCGATAAAAGTTCATACCCCATCGGATATTCCGTGCTTCGTAGCCGGTGATGTAAGAGCAAACGAAAATCCAGGAATTATTTCATTACATACTATTATGGTTCGATATCATAACCACCTTGCCAGGAGTCTTAAATCAATCAATAAAGCGTGGTCTGGTGATGAAGTTTTCCATACTACTAGACGAATTGTATCCGCAGTATACCAATCTATAACGTATCGAGAGTATATCCCTCCCATGCTGGGACCATTGTGGACAAAAAGATTTGGTTTGAAACTCATTGATGGATATGCGTATTGGAACGGATACGATAAACGATATAACGTAGCCATCACTAACGAATTTGCAACTGCAGCTTTAAGGTACGCCCACAGTCAAGTTAGTGATGTATTGTCTCGCCCAGATTCTTTTCTCCGACGCGGGAGCATACCAGACGTTACGGTCGCCCGTACATTTTTCACCAGTGATGCTCATTTAAACAAATTTGGAGGTGGGTCAGGAGCATTTTTGCGTGGCTTAATGACTGACAACGCTCAGAAAACTGATCCTACATTGGTTGATGCGTTGCGCAATCAACTTTATGCGGAAAGAAATAAGAAATTTGGCTTGGATCTTTTTGCAGTCAACATGCAAAGAGGACGAGATCATGGTTTGCCGGGTTATAATAAATACAGAGAATTGTGTGGTTTACCTAAAGCCAATTCTTTCTATGAGTTATCAAGCGAAATACCAGGTGATGTTATCAGTCGTCTAAAACAAGTTTACGAATCTGTGCACGACATCGATCTGTATGCTGGAGGAATAGCCGAAAACCCCGTGACGGGTGGGCAAGTCGGACCAACATTTGCTTGTATTTTAGCCTACGGTTTCCGCTCACTAAGAATGGGTGACCGTTACTGGCACGAAAACAAGCGCGATCCCTCTTCATTCACACCACAACAACTTGCTGCGATACGCAACACAACATTCGCTAGTATTCTTTGTCAAGTCGGTGAAGACATGAAAATTGTGGCGAGGAAGCCGTTGATTATGAAAGACGGAAAACCCGACAACCTCGTCAGTTGCTACAGCATACCTGGTATAGATCTTTACTCGTGGAAGCAGGATAGCCAGTATCATAAGCAAGAAGCAGCAAGAAATGTTGAATACAAGTGGACCGTGTGGTTTGTTACGAAGTATACCAAAATAAATCAAGTCGATGTCGAAAAGGCGCCATTACATATCTTAAAAACGAGGCCAGACGAAACATGCGAAACTCGGTTAGGCTATAAACTTCGTACTGTGCCACACAGTCGGTTTATTCAAATTCAATTTGCTTGCCCCGTTGGTTCAATTAAATATTCAGACTTTCCATTTCAACTTTCGCCGAATCACTACTGGTCAAATTGGATTTCGGCATCTTCTTCTTACGGTCATGAATCATCAGTCGAAATTTACAAATTTAAGTGTGAGCATGTGGTGGCAATTCAGGCAAAGTCAGGCAAGAAATATGCAAGTGAAACCGGTGACGTTTTTGAAAAATTCGGCCCTCAGTCCGGATTTTTATGTCGGGACAATGATCAAATTAAGGGAAAGTGTCACAAGTACACAGTTCGTGCATTGTGCCTCGGTAAAAGAAAAAGTATCAAAGGGATAACCCGCCAGAATGGCTACCCTGAACCTTTCGGTATCAAAGAGATAACCCGCCAGCAGAATGCCTATCCTGAACCTCCCGGTTTTGTCAGTTCCAGAAGAGCTTTAAATATTGCGACATCGTATTGTAATTTGTACGGTGTTTGTTGCAATCCCCCATCTACACACTACATGTTGACGTCTTCTCCAGTCATGTTGTCCGCCAGAAACTTATGCAGGCAATACGGCATTTGCTGTCGATCCTGAAATCTATGTGCAATTATTTTATATTACAATCAAACTTACTCGTAATAAATATTTGTATAATGCCCTCTACAGTCTTTTGTCAATTCTCACCCACAAAAGTCTATTCTTTATTGTAACCGTGGTTTGTCTGTGGCCAGTGAATAAAAATGGCTGTTCGTGCGCTTGTACAGTGTTAGAGCTTAATGACTAATGACCTTCAAATCGGCTTGTATATGTACATATCTGTAGTTCATCATGCATGCATTATAGTAAAAACGTGATTTTTTCTAATTGATAATAAAAAGAATTTGTCTGCAGTGGGACTTAGTTACCGAATGAGATTCCATAGTAGTGTTTGCTAACTGAGTACAGAGCATATTCATACCATCAGAGTATATATGTGTTAGAGGCTGGAATTGAGTGATAAACAGACGGGGTGTACATCTATATCAGGGTGATCCAAGGTTGCGGGATTGAAGGGGCGCAAAAAAATTTCAGGGGGCCTTGCGGGCCACAATCGGGAAAATCCAGAAGTGATCAAAATACTGCGAGTTTGATAACTTTAAATATACTAAGGAATGAATGCTTACCGTTGGAATCGGCGTATTTGTTATATTTCATGAGTGGCGTTTTTATTTATTTAGAGAGAGATATATTAAGCACAAAAAAATAACACAGCAATTTATTGTCTCTTGCTTTTGGTTACTGCTTCAATGTCAGATATAAATCTCCAACCGATAATAGTTGAAAGCGCATCAAACACCGCGGTTTACCATTGCTTTGGGCAACGAAATACGTTCCTCCCAGTTAGCTTTAATTTGTCTGAGGGAGGGGTCATGAGCGAAAGGATTGCTCGACATGATTTGCGTGACTGCTAGTCGCTTGCGGGTTCTCCACCACGAAGTCAATGCATCCGAAAAAAAACCTGGCTGTCTAATCCCATACCCGACATGGAGATATGGCTCGATTCCATCCTATCATAATCGTTACATTTGACTGAATTTATAACTACAAGCAAAAGTAGTGCTATCGTCAAAGAACAACCAAGTCCGTCAAGTTGGGATTTCGGGACCTAGCTAAAAATCCTGGATCGCGCGGCGCGAAGTTAGATATGAGTTTCGTCACTGCTGTCATATGGCCAAAGCTTTAAAGTAGAGGTGTGTTTTTACAAAAAAAAAAGGCACAAAACGTGTCTGCAGATAAGTGGTTGCTTGGCGTTAGTGTACTTATCATCGCTTGATTATTTATAGAAACCAAAGCGCGCGGACTGCCGTGTCTTGACACGAACCGGTAGCGGCTTGTCGACGCGTGAATGTGGGATGTCATGCATATATCGGCACCGCCTTGGGGTTTATAGATACAACCTCGAAATTCCGTAATTTTAACAGATATCATTCCCGATATCCGGATTAGGAAAAGGGTTTAAATCTTGGGATCTCAACCCCAGCTGGAATAGCTAAAAAAAAACTAAAATATTGTTCTGCGGGCGGCACGAAATGTGTCAGAGTTCAAAAATAAATGTGTCAGAGTTCAAATATCCGAGTCCTAGTTTACAAATATCTGCCAATAGTTTATTTTTCCCCCTAATTATCTGCGGGTCGCACGGAATGTGTTCAGGGTTTGGACCACCCTGATCTATATTATTAGTAGCTAGAGGAATTTATTTTATTGTTGGGAAATATCACTGAACTGGAAATTACATGGAACAATCTTCTCTCTCGTTTTGCGTTGTCGCAGCGCGGGACAATTTGATCGCCGCCATCTTGGCATTTATGCTTGCAAAGTTTCTCCGTGTTGCATCTGGTTTTGGCCAGTTTTTCGTCTATTTTACTACCCAGTGCGCCACATAGGGATCTATATGCGACTTTTTGTGGGTATTCAAACACAATTATACTCGAGTTGGGAATTTATAGCCTGATGTGGATCTCGTTCTTGAAAAAATTTGGTTGTAGAGGCGATTATACAATAGATTGGAAACGATTGTTTTTGCCTTATATTATAAAAATGCAATATCCCCCACGGGGCAGATTTCACCTAAGTCTTCGGCAGAGAGCGAAGCGCAGTTCAGTTGGTACTCCCGTAGTCTGTGTACCAGATTGGGGTTAGGTCATAACTTTATTCCAACTTTCCTTATTCTAGTTCTATACCTGTGCCCATGGGTTTCTGTCCCTTTACACAACTTGGCGTAGAGTAGGCGAACAATATTAGTTACCTCCACATGGTACACGCACTCTTCAATTCCATTTATACGTACAGCTCGGGTACTACGGGACCAGGCCACGCAATGATATTGAGATCGCTACCCAAAATACTTAAGGCGATAAAATAAGGCCAAATACAGGTAAACGGGGAAGCGATTCCGATAAGCCATCTTTGCTAAGGTTTTGTGGTCGTTTTTGTTCGCTTTTGACTGATACGTTAGCCATATTATTAACCCACGACTTTCGCAAATTTATAAAACTGCCAAAATTAGCACCTTATGGTGGGCTGGGATATAGTCTACTAGCGTTTTATACATAATGACAAACGAATCAAGATCAGGAGAATATGCGAGGAAAATCGACGCAAATGATTGATTTCTGTCAAATCCCATAAGAAATGCATTACGCGCCTCGCAAAAGTTGAAAGTCTATCGTCAAAACGAGAGAGCCTTCAAAGGGTCCCGCGGAAACGAGAGAGAACCGCACTTCATCAGATAGCGGAGTAGGCGTATATACAACAATTTTACCAGTGTCATAAAATGCTCAAATCACCGATAAAAATAAATAGTCAAATTGAAACATACTATTAATTGTTTTAAATCCAGATGCAAATGGTGTAACCTTCTATTTGTAAGAATAAATATATGTGGATAAGAAAACCTTAAAATCCCAGATTTTTACGAAATGATTGCGATATCGGGATTGAAAAAAAACAGTCCAAATTCCGGGATTTCGGAATTTCCCGAGGTCCCAACCCTAGGCATAACGGATATAAGTTTTGAATATCTGTTGATACCTTAAAATTATTCTCTTTCAATTTGGGCCGATAATTATATTACAAAAAATAATAGTCTCCGAAAGAGAATAATTTTAAGGGGACCAACAGATATTCAAAACAAATATTCATCTCACGAAAATAAAACAGCGACAACAGAGAAGTAAAATCAATATGGTCAACTATCGTCTTCATGAATATCCGCATTCCGGCGTCAGAAATAATATTATTTTCAGCGCAAAATTGGGACAGTTAATTTACAAACGGTGACAAAAAAGATCAAAGCCGATCCAAAAGATAAAAATCGGAATAAAATCCCGAATTAAGCGAATTCAATCCGACATTCCACAATTTGTTAAAGTTATTCGATTTGATGAAAATATACTATTTTGCCCACTCTCGCGATCTGTAATCACGCCAGTAATCTGGCGAAACGCGTGGTAGTCTAAATACGGATGCAATGAAACTAAATAAAACCTTCATAAATGCCTGCGTGGTGTAATTGACGATTATTTCATATCTGGAATACAAAAACAGTTATCTTTTTCGAATAGTTTCTGCGGTCTTAAAGTCGAATGAGCGTTTCGACATAGTAAATGCTATAAACTTTGCCATCAAAGTATGCTCGGGCCTTGTACGAAATTCATAACGTGAAAAGATACGTCTAGTGGTGAAAATTCTTTATAACAACTTTAAACCTATTTAGTGTTTTTGGCTATATTAATTGGTTCCATTACATTTGAACCCACGTACATTTGAACCCATGACAATTGCACCTGTATGCTATTGCACCTATGGAATTTTTTTTGTTTCACGGATAGTTAAACCCATACTAACCCTAACCCATGGGTTTTAGCACTCGCATATAGATTGAACCCGTGGATATACGCATGGGTTCAAATGTACATGGGTTCAAATGTACGGTCACCATATTAATTACTTGTTGCAATGAAATACAGTTTGTTTGTCTCTTTCATTTCTGTCGGAAGTGCCGACAATAATACTATTGAATGATTTTGACAATGGGGGAAACGTATTAAATTGTAACAAAAATGATTAGGTTGTAAAAAAGTGAGAATACACGTGATAATAATAAGGGCTAACGTGAAACGGAAAGGGCGAGCAAAACCGAAGCGCGTGATCGGCGGTGCGTTTGAAGACCACGTATTATCCGTGCGGCCTCGCAACTTTTAAAATAAGGTGAGATACGATCCGAAGACGCTCTCGTTTACAATAATGTAAGAATACATTTGTAATATCGGTAACTTTTAACCATTTGTTCGCGTTCGACTATCGCACTCTTTGTGAGTAGAAAATGTTCGTGTTTTGTGATAGGTGTGACGCATATATTTAAGGAGCGAAATAGTGTGCCGCGATATAAAAAAAAAGGTTGGGAACCACTGTCCCAGATGCTCTAATATTTCTGCGTCGATATTACATGAAACAAATAGGTGATTTTATTGTCATGTGAGTTGTTTCAATTTTTTACTTAATCCCGAAAAATCCAGGGATTAAACGTCTCAATCCCGGGATATCCCGATACCGGGATTTTAAAAACCGGCCCCGAAATCCTAACCCCAGAACTCATGCGTAAAAGACAACAAGTCATATTTTTTGACATGATATGAATTTTAAATTACTCGGATCCGTTGGTATTTTAAATCATGTGAAACTGAATCACGAAGAATGGATCATCGTCACAGGACCTGGAAAAGCTATGACAGTCCCCGTATCGTTACTCTGGGTAGTTAAGTTGTCGGTGTAGGTGAATTGTCCGCCTACTGATAACACATATGATTTTCGGGAAATTGATGATATATAATTAGTCCGATATGGCCACTTTAATTACTGGATCATTTGCTTTGCAATTTTCAGTGGTTAAAGATGGTATTTTTCGCTAAAAGGCTATTTCTTTTATTTATTTCGAATATTTCTGTGAGCTCTGTGGAATTGTTTTTGTGTGCTATGACGTCATCAATTTTTTTTATTTGGTAATACAGACGTGAATCGGATCAGGTGGTATTCCAATTCACGTTGAAACTGAATCTTGAAGAATATGCCTGGAAAAGCTATGACAGTCTCTGTACTGTTACCGGTACCCTCTGTAGACAGACGAGTTGTCTCTCATGAGTTGTCCGCCTCCCGATACAGCTACTGGTAAGTTACCGCATATGATTTTCGGGAAATTGATGATAAAATATATAGTTTTGCCCTCCGTGTCGACATATTTGAGCATAGCGACTGACGAGATGACTATTCGTTTATCATGGTTTATAATGTACCGGTATGCTGTGTAGGTTCATAT